TGTGACAAGATATTGTTAATTCACAGGACACATCAAAGAAAATTCATGGCTTTCAAAATGAGTCTTTCATACTGTGTAGCAGACATTTAACTTGCAAACTGAATTGCAATGTTAGTCACCCTATACACTCACTGGAGAAAGAGAGTTACTCCTGCTACAGTCATGCTGGAAATTGCCTGGGGTAGGTCTCTTCATGCTGAATTGGAAGTTGAAGGCCACTAGCTTCCTAATGTAGGCACTTAAGTCAGGTGTCTGAAGCTAATCAATATCGATACTATACCAGAAATGGAGCGACATCTGCTTTAAGGATCTCTCCTCCTGCATCAGCAAGCTTTGGGGAAAAAGGTGTCTCCCTTGTGGCACTGCCCTGCACAGTAACAGTGAGTGTAGAAAAGGCTGGTATACAGCCTGTGCTGTATCATCTGCTCTCCCCTCCTGTGGGTACAGTCCCCTGTGGTTTTCCGAGACACCCTTGACCTTGACACTTTCAGAGGCTGCCAGACATGGACTGAACCCTACGGTGCTGTGATGGGGGATCTGAACTGCAGAGCATGGGGCAGAATTAGACTGTTTCAAGAAAAAGAACAAACACTGTGTGAAGCTGCCATGAACAAACCCTTGCTGTCCATAAATCAAAGCCTTCAGCTGGACTGCAGCACCCGTAACTGGAAGAGAAGGCTCCCTCAAGCCTGCCACAAAGGCAGACCTTCACAAATCACTGTGTATAGGAGAAAGGATGTCAAATGCAGAGCTGAGAAAGAACAGGTGGAAGTGAAAGAGTAAGAGACAAATTGCAATGACTGTTTACAGTACGATACCAAAACAAGGGACAGCCTAGTTTTCTTTACAATTTTCCCATCCCTAGCTCTAAAAAGTCAAAAGAAATTCAGCCATTGTGCCTGGATAGCTTTGGAGGGGAGCTGAGACCATTTTCTAGGTAAACACCCATTTCAGTCCTCGGAGGCACTCTTCTAACACTTTTTCCAACAAGGCTGAGAAAGCATCAGCATTTGCTGATGCTGGCTCAGCACACCTGAATTGACAGCAGAAATCAGAATCAGAATCACGAGGAGGGAGCAGTCCCAACCAGGTGTAGTTGACAGCAGTGTACAGCCCCTTCTCCTCTTTGCTATGTTTTCCAGGCAGGGGCCGGCACCAGTGAGGTAGGAGGGAGTCCTGCCTGTTCCCAGTGGGCATACACAGGTCCAGTGACACACACCCCCACACACCCACTCAACTCTGCATATTATGGCCAGCAGAACTTGGTGGGCATAACGGTAGGGAGATATAGATATGCCTGTTTGTTGGTCATTTGTCAGCTACCAGCAAGGTACGAGGTGTGCAGCTGGCCCATCAGCGCACGGCACCCAAGGTGGCCAGGGAAGCCAAAAGTGGGAGAGACACAGGGGCAGTACAGATGTGCCACCAGGTGGGTGCATCCTCTGGACCCTGCTCTCTGCTGGGCTTTCTGCTCTGCTCACAGGGAAACCCACTCCAGCAAAGTTCTCATGCTGTGGTGTATCTCCTGCCCTGCCTCTTGTGTGCCCCATGGCACCTCACCAAGTCACAAGAGTTGTGATCCCAAAGCGAAGGGATTGGGCACCTCTGCTTCAGGGCAGAGCCAAAACACAGGGGCACTGCACTCCTTAGGCAGAGCGGTCACCCCTGAAAGGAAGCCCCACACAGACCTTGGTGGGTGGTTTGGGGGAAAATCTGCTTAAATGGAAAGAGAAGGCAGTGGAAAGACCTGTAAAGAGGGGAGTGGTTGGTTTGCAGATGCATAAATGCAGTTATTACAGAAAAATAGTTTTGACAGTACTACAGAGCTGCATCTCTTACCAGCCTGGGTAAAGGGTGGAAATGTATTTAAAGGTGATGGTGTAGGAAGAAGTAAAATTTAGCTCCTGAACTGTGTTAGCACTTTTACAATCTGTATGTCTTCTCAGAGGGAGGGAGATTGTAGGTTAGTGCGTACTATGATATGCCACTTGTAATGAAATCTCCTCTGGCGTAATTATGCTAAGATTGACACGCTCCCTAGATATCAGAATGCTTTAAAAGATTCACCTTCCCTTTCTGTTTCAGCAAAGGAGGAATGATACTACAATATAAAATGTAAATCAAACAGAAAGGAAGACATTAGTTCTGTATTCATAAAGGGCAAAGTATAGTAATGGCAGTGAGACCAGTCTTGAATCTAATGCACCAGACACAATTACAAGGATTGTCTCTCTTCTGTTCTCTCTCCCAGGCTCCAGAAAGAAGAATCAATTAGCTCTCTGCAGACTATGACCTTGAAGGATACAGCTTTAAGGGGAATATGCTGAGTAAGACAGAAAAGAGAGAAAAAAATTACTTGGAAACTCATGGAAGGTCTTGGTTCAGAAACAATACATCAGCCACAGAATATCTGTGGTTTTGTTGGTTTGGGTTTGGTTTTTTTTTTTTTTTTTTTTTTTTTTTTTGTTTGTTTGTTTGTTTGTTTTTAATTTCTGCACTGGAAAAAAAAAAAAAAAAAAGATATCAGCACAAAAGGGGCTTTCTGGGAACATGTTACCTCACTATGCCTGAAATGGAAAAAAGGACACTGAGAGGCAAAAGAAGGGACAATCCAATTTGCAGATGCTACTTTCCAAGCCATCTCTCTGAGAATTTTATAGCTGTCAAAGGCATTCATAAAAAAAAAAGTTATCACTGATGCAATCTGTCAACCTCTCCAACAAATCTTGCTCTATATAAAACACAATGATGTGTTTGAAATGCAGCTGTTTCAAAAACCCCAAGACAGTGCTTTTAGAGCTGTCCAAAAAGTTCTTTTCATGCCTCTTTCAATTCTTAGGTAGATCTTTTGCAGTGTACTTTTCCAGCTATATTTTATTATTTTCCTTTTCAGGGAATTGTAGTCCCTTGTCATAGTCAGAATTATGGCCACAGTTAGAAAAAATACTGCCTACACAACCTTCTCCCTCGGAGCAACCCTGACTCAACCTTCTGCCAGTTCTCCCTCTCCTTTCAGTCTGTGTGTAAGTATATGATATCTTAAAATATGTTTATCTTAAGAAAATTAAGGCAACAGTCAAAAAACCCAACTCAACCCAATCACCTGATTTCTGGACAACCATTTATTTCCCAGATGTGAACAGAACTGAATGAAGATAATATTTTTTTGTCAGTGGCTGCTCCAAAGAATCTCTTTCCTCCCTACTCCTTCATTTACTTAAAAGATGAAGTTAGCATGTTACTGATAAAGGCTTGCCTCACATGTGGAGATTCAGGAGGATGAGGGTCGTCTTGACATAAGCAGCTTTTAGTTGCTTCCCCCTCTCACACAAAAGAGGCTATTTTGACTGGATGGTTGTTCCTGGTGATTTTATGAAGTAAAAAGTGCTGTCATTTCTTTAATATCACTTATGGTATTTGCACTACAAAGAAAGATTTTCTGCATCAACAATAAAAAAAAAAATAATCACTTACTATAGTTCTATATAACGGCAAAGGTGTGTAAGTGTCTCAGTAATTCAAGCAATGTCTCATCTGCCACAGGCCAAGCTTCCCACCATTTAACTGCACAGAAATATTTCCCTATAAAACTGTTTCCATCAGACAAATTACTTTTAATCCAAAGGCTGGTTGTCACCCATTACCTAAGCAAAATGCAGCACGGCTTCTACAGGAGTAATTAAAATTTTCTTTCAGGGATTCTGGAATTGCTGTTCAGCAAGGAGATGGAAGGACCTCCACTGAAATCACTGTAGTTACACTCATTTTCACTGGCAAGGTGGCTGGCCCAAAATGTACCTAATCCAACTGCCACATATCTATGCTGAGTCCAATCCTGGTGGGGTTAAATTTAGTAGCAAACTTCTGTTGACTTCAGGGCTCCTGGGTGAGGTCCAGTATGTACCACCTACAAGGTGACCATCCTGTGGCATTACAGGGAAGGCACGAGGGAGAATAAATGAGACGGGCTCTTGCAAGGAAATTTGAAAGGATCACAGCTGCTCATTCTGATCAGTGCATCTTTCCAAAGGAAACCTCAGCCCTGTGCTCGCAGTACAACAGCATGCTGCCTTCTCTTTTACTAGAGTTGCATAATTTTGCACAGCTCTGTAATTGCTGGCTTGATCTGCTCTGGATTTGATGGGTTAAAATGATGAATGTCAAAGAAATTACAGTTCAGCAATGTGGTATTTTGATGCTTTATGATCACTACTGAGAAAATAATCCAGGTATCCTGGATATTTTTTGCTTTAAGGATGAGCAAAGACTAATTTGGAAACTGAGCTCCTCCTGCATCGGCAAGAATGCTTTCATCAAATGCTCCACAAAAGTCAGTGAGGCAATGTCTGAGAAACAGGTTCAACAAGAATCAGCTTCCAGAGGAGCGGAAAGATGCAGAGAAATGTGTGCTTTGCTCTTAAGAGAAAGGGAAAAATTATAAGCTAACTGCTAAATTAATAATTTCCAACCTCTAACTGTTTCAGATATGCTGTTTGCCTTTCCCACTGTTCTCCCTGAGTGTTTCAAGGGGGATGACAGGGATATTTGCCAGCAACAGACTTCAGGAAGGAGGTAGCAGAAGTGCTCTGCAGGCAAGGCAAAGAAAACGACACACATGGAAGATCCAGCACAGGACACAAATCAAATTTATAAGAAAAATATGCTGTCAGACCATGTGGAATAGCTATCAGATAAACCCCTGAAGTAAATCACATACTTTTGTGCAAGTGGATGCAGAGAAAAGGGTGGTACTGGTGTTTTACAAAGGTCCGAAAGGTAGCTCTCTTCATTGCCATGCACACCTCAGAACTACGTTCAGAGGCCCCTAGGTGCTCTCCTCACCAGGTAACCCATGCTATACCTGTCTTATCACATTTAAGCTTTGCATGCTAATCACACATCCTCAAGGTCAGCTGCAGAACAGGGAAGTGCCTTTTTTTTTTTTTTTTTTTTTTTTTTGGTGGAAGGGAAAAACAAATAAACACATAGCTTCTACTTACAAAGTTTTGGAGCAGTTTGGAGATTGGTTTCTGTTGCTTGTGCCTGAGACGCTGTGGTAGGCTCCAGGGCAGGTGGTGACAGCGAAGGTGCAGCAGAGGACAACCCAACATCTAGGATGCGGTTATACAGAGAAGGCTGGAGGAACGTTTTGGAGGGCACGAGCGAGCTGTCACTTTGCACTGTCACTTCAGCCTTGCTCTTGGGGCTAGGTACAGGGAAGGGTGAGGCATACACCTCTGAAGGCACCCAGGCAGACAGAGCTGTAGGATCCACAGCGCTCTTTGGGTCTTGTCCTATCCTCCCAGGGTCAAGGTGGGTAGGAGAGTCATACTCAAAAATCTTGTCCACAAAGACCCACTTGAGGCCAGCAATGCAGAGGCAAAGGCTGAGCAGGCAAGCCAGGATAGGGGCGATGCATATCTTTTCAGAGTTGAGGCAGCCCTTCAGTCGCTCTGCCTCCAGGCACACACAGCAGGTTGTGGCAAGGCCTGCTATCCTTTGGACACTCCTGTCCTCTCTTTGGTTCCCCGGCATGTTCTCCTCAGCCGGGAGCCCGTTGAGGGATGCGTCAGGGCTCAGCTGAGCGGAGGGGCTGGGGAAAGTGTCGGCAGCTACTTCAGACATGTTTAAGCATCAGCTCTCAAACAGCTCACCTTCAAAAGGCCTTAACTCTATCACAGTCCATTACTGTGAGACACAGACAAAAAGAGATGGTAGTAATAGTCACAGTGCTCTGCAAAAATCACAGAATGGGAATCAACAAAAGGTCTGAGCTCAGCAACATCACTGAAACTGGGAGAGGAATAATGCACAGTAAAAATGAGAGCCCCCCTGTCTCCCGCTGCCCCTGAGCCCTCTGTCGCCCTCTCTGCCTCTCTGAAGCAAAAGTAGCTACGCAATTACTGAGCTCCTGTTTGCTGGCCACTTTTATAATTCCTTAAATGCCTCTTAAGCAATTCCAGCTCTTCTGTGGGAGGGAAGAAACATTCCCCCAAAAGCAAGCACAACGAAACAAAACAGGGGGAAGGATGGGGAAAGGATGGTGAGGAGGAAAGGAAAAAAAAAAAAAAAAAAAGAAACAAAAAGAAACAAAAAACCAACCAAAACCACAAACACAGAACAAATTGACCAGTTTAAGTGAACCAATAGCCCAGAGCAAAAGGCAAGACTCTCACCTTGAGCATCTGAGGCTGGTATCTGCTTAGACGAGGAAAACAATTGTCATGCGGTAGAAGGAGCAAAAGCAAAATCTGTAACAACAGCGGCAGCGGCAGAAGTGACAGTAGCAGCAGCATCCTGTCGTGTTACAGCGGCGGCTGAAAGAGGCTGAATCATTACAGAGCAGCAGGTGCTCGCTGTCTGAGCATCACTGCAAACAATATCATTACACAGAGGTTTGAAAGGAAGAGCGATGCCAAGACGGTGGTAACTCCCTTTCTCTCCCCTCCCTCTTTGTCCTTCTTGAGCGCTCATTCACTTTCCTCCTTCCCCCCCCCCCAACACCCCCCCCCCCCCCCCCCCCCCGCTCGCCCCGCTCCCCCAGACGCCTTGCAGCCTGTTTCCCTGATGTACAGACTTACTCCTTCCTCCTCTACCCCACCCCCCGCCCTCTGCAGGGCTGGTCTGAGGGAAATCAGTACACCCAGCAACGCAGGACTGTCAGTGACTTCCTATTTTATCCAATTAGAAAGAATAAAGACCATCAAATCAAAAGGAGGGAGCGGGCAGGAGTTGTGCGCCCTCCCGCTCCCTCTCTCCAGCCGGGCCGCAGTCAGGCGCTGCGGCCATCGATGACACGGTCCTCCGGCGAGGACAGGGTGGCGGTGAGAGCTTTTGGGCTGGACTGGGCTCGCTCAGTCTGATACCCGATCTTTCCCAGGGGAAAGACCGTTTTTCAGCAGCAGTTTCTGCCTGCCTGACACCTAGAGACAGCTTTTCTTTCCAAGCCCCTGAATAAGTTTCATTCATCAGGAATAGTGCTGGGATGCACCTTAGGTCAAGCAGAGGGGAAAAAAAAAAAAACAAAAAAAAACAAACCAACCAACCAAACCAAACCCCAAAATATTCCCACTTCTGAAAAATTTTCATTTAGAGATTTGCATAATATTTTATTTATATTCCATTTTTCAACCTCCTTCCCAAAAAACTATTAGTAACAAGGCTTCCACTTTGTTCTTAAATTTGCCTGTTATTCCTCATTTCTACCAATACCTAGCACTAGCTCTCATTTCCAGCAGCACAGTGTAATACAGGGGTAAATCAACAGTCCAGTTAACATAATGAAAGTCAGATTAGAATCAGCTCTATTCCCAGTCTCTTTTGTCTTCCACAGAAAAGTACACCAGTGTAACAGACAGATGTATGTATAAAAGGAAAGGGGCTTTTAACACAATTTCCAGTTTCTTGGACTTTGTGAAAACATTTGCATTGAAGATTTGGCAGCATGAATCCCCCTTTCTCATTAGTATATATGACTGCAGGATGCATAAGGAAACAAAGAATCAAGTACTACAAATTGCCCTCAACTAATTTTTGCTGGTACCTTAGTCAGGCATCCAAAAGGCAATTTCCTTTGTAGTTATATAGTTTTGGTAGAGACAAAAAAGTCATCTGTCTCTATCCATGTCCTCTCTCTGCCTCCAACTTCTGCACTCCCTCCCCCGGTTCTGACTTCCATCGGAACATTAGTAACATTCACATAAAAAAGGTTTATCAAAATCTCAGTGAATCCCATAGTGTTTTCAGAGATTCTCCTGACAAGGACTAATTGATGGATGTCTGATCACAAAGCTTCCTGTGAGGCTGTAGTAGCCAGCTGAAGTAATCATGATGCTACTACATTCAAGTGCCTGGAGATTTTACCTTAAAGCACAGACAGTGATAACACTCTCTGGAAGAATGTAAAAAGATAAATCATCATACAATCTAGTCTACATTACTACTGAAGTGTCTGGTCCTCAGGTTAATGATGTGATCAGTAACCTCAGACAGAACAAACAGCTTGCATTGCATATTTACGTACATGGCTCCTCTTATTACAAAGCACATGTGCTCCTTAGCTGGTAATACTCTGCATGAGTGCAGCCTCTTTCAAGTATCTCAAAACCTGTTTCAAACAGCAGTAACATCACAGTCACTGTAGAGAGGGTAACATCACAGCAGCGTTGCTGTGACAGCTGTGGTGGTCTGTGGGTACAAGTAAGCAAGGTTTATTGGGAAAGAATGTATCTTTTATTAGATTAACTGATAAATCTAACTGATACTTTCACACACACAAGTTGATCCTCAGGTGAAAAGCTGAAGCATCACTCTTAAAAGCAGAGTGAAAGTTGAGAACCAGGTAGGAATATTCTCTTCATTGTACAGATGAGATACTATGGCATCGGAGTGCTTGGCGTAAATTTTTAAAAATGTCTTGCCTTTATCCAGGTCTAATTTTTCAACCTTCCTATTTCCAGTAAGACAATTTTTCCTGCTGATGCTGCTCTGTGCTTGTGCTTAATCCACTGCCCTGTGCACATCTTCCCTGCCCTGGCCTTCCAGGCGAAACACTTGTGTTCAATCTCCTGTAATCTTCATTACTCTCCAGCCTATTCACATTTAGCTGCCCTTCTTTAAATGATGTTTCCGCTTTGCTCACACCTTTCTGGTGCTGAGGTGAACAGAAATGCATGTGGAGATTTTGCGCCTTCCTTACAAGGGTTGACATGAAGTTAAAGTAAATATGCACAATGCTACAAGGCTGGACAGAGAGACAGATTATTACCAGTTCAACCATTGACTGCCACCTCTGCATGCACAGTGTCCTGGGAAACCTCAGAGCCTCTTGCACCAGAAGGCCAGTGGGGACACTTCCAGGGGCTCCCCTGCACGTGGGTTCATTGTCCCCCTCCTCACACTGCTGCCAGAGGGGCTTGCAGGGACCAGGGAAGGGCTCTGCCAGAGGAGTCTTGCCTGTCCCCTCCGAGCCTTCCCGACTAAACAGAGCCAGGATAGCTGCTGTTACCTCCCTTGCTTTTTCACTCTCTCCTCCACTGGCTGGGGCCCAGCCTGCCTGCACCATCTCCTCCCGGCAGGCAGCCACCTCCAGCCCCTCCCGCCGCCTCCGCGGCCGCAGCATCTCCGTGGGGCCTGGCTCCCTTCCAGGCTGCAGTACCCTCCTCTGCTGCAGGCCCCTTCCCCCACAGCACCTCCAGACCTGGCGCACAGGCTGCCTGCCTCAGCATCGTGCAGCTAGATCTGCCCAGACTTTCTCCTCCTCCTCATGTCCCCCTTCCCCAGGGAAGCCTACAGAGCTGCTTCACCCTCCCAGCTCTGCCGAAGCTGTGGGGTGCTGGGGCTTGCAGCAAGAGGAGCAGGGTGGCACCCTGTTTTCTGAGGTGCCTGGTGGCTCCCAAGGAAGAAAGGTAATGCTGAATCATCAGCCAGGCCAAAGTCAGGGCTAGAACACAGCCTGCCCTCGATGCTGCAATCGGATACTGCAAGGGGTTGGCTTCTCTCGGGACCTTTTCGACAAAAATGCAACTCCAGGCTCTTTACCACATTTAGGTTGTTAAGGGAGCACGCTGCCTTTCATGCCAGCTCTTGTGGCTGTGGCAAAGGCTGATGGTCTCTCACTGTATGTCTGAAGATACGACTGTAAAATGAAGGTGCAGTTCACTGGTTTTGGGGGTCTTTTTGCTCCCTTTCCCCCACCAAGCAATGCAGAAATACTTCTCTGCAGCTGCAGTTTTCTGTAATGACATGCTAGCACTGTCATGCTGTGCTTAAACATGGGTTCTGGCCCAGGCTGGAGGAGACAACTGCCTTGGAAAAGAGCCAGCAATTTATTAACAGAAAGGAAGACCCTGGAAGAAAACAAGAGGCAGCACACCCTTGGAGGTAACAAAGTTTTACTAGGGTAGCCCATTGGTGGGCAATATAGAATGATAAGGAAAGGAAATTATTTGCCTGTTTGCAATTAGGTTAGGTCCTTGTGCAAAGATTTATTTCTGATTATTGTGTGGCTTGGGTCTGTTTGGTTTAGAGGAAAAAGTAGTGTGATTCTGCACTAATGAAGCTAATCTGTTACTGAGATTTGGACTCTTGCCATATGTAAGTGACAAGTTGAAAATCAGAGGCTTACAAAACTGTAATTTTATTTTGTGGAGTGTTTTTGCAAAGAATCAAGTGTTACTTTGCTAAGTTCCACTCCCAGAAGACTCAAGGAGACGCAAAGCCAAAGTCAGCATTAACTTGCAGCCTGTGAAGAGGATGAACAAGCTGTATCTGTTCCTCCAGTTTTATTACCAAACTGTAGAGGACCATTCTCTCTGGCCAGCCACAAAGATGTGAATGAAGCTTAAATAGATATGTGATCATAACTGACAACATCCTGCAAATTAGAGCAGTAAGTACCATTTAATTCAGTTGACCCTTCAGTTATGCCATAATCAGACCCAAATGTGCTGAAGGTTTTGGAAATTAGCCTTGCTGAGTCATTCTCATGGAAGCCACTGGATTTCAAATATCTGCTTTCAATAAAGTCCCAGCAGCCCACAAACAGATTCTCTAAGAATTATCTACTTCCTTGCAATTACTGGGACATTAGGGAAGTAAAGTATGTCTTCACAAGTAGTTATCCATGCCTCTAACAGATCACAGCTTAAGAAAGGATGCTCAGAGGACCACACATCAGTACAGGGCAAGTGATCTCCTCTCAGACCACTACTTTCCTTTAAGAACATACCAATTCTTCAAAAAGGATCAAGCAGCAATATGTGGCATCAACTGCTCCATCATGTGCTTAATTGCACTCCCCTTTTTTCCATACATTGAGAAATTAAAAGCATGCTCATTAACAAAAGATTGATGAGGAAGATAAAAGGATCTCTTTTTATTGATTGCAGGCACTTTCTTCAAATTAAACAAGTGCGCTATTTAAAGATGGGAGGTTGACCCAAAGCAAGCAAGCAGGCCCAGTAAGCAGCATCACTGCCAGCAGTCATGGTGTGGGAAGAGTGGGCTATCACACATGGTGCAAACAATTCATTTATTCCTCCTTTCAGTACTTCACCAACTGCCCCTCCTTAATCCATTTCTCTTGGACTGATGCCAGCACTCTCTCTGTTCGAGTCTTTCCAAAAGCCTTTGCTAAAAACCTCATCTCTCAGCTCAAATGGCACAAGGAGAAAACCTCACTTTGCTTCATACCAGTCCTGTCATTGGAATTGCAAACATTAAAATGGGATAGGCTGTCACGCACATACATACCTACCCCATTTT